CCACATGAAGTTAACAGCATTAAGAAAGAAAAAATAGAGCTCAATGGCACAGTGGAGAGATATTCCCTCTCTCAACTTTGTAATAACACATAAATTCAATGACCAAATGAGAAATTTTAAGAGCATTCCACTATATGGGCAAACCAAATATGAACATAGTCTGATTCACTTTCCAATGATCAGATTAAGCGTCCCTAATAACTGAAAGGTAAAATATCTTGATACCCTACTCCCCATTGAAACATCTCGATTCAGTTGAACCCTTTAACATAAGAAAAAATGACTAATTACTTTTTAAAAATAAATGCCACCTTTCTGCAAAAGAAAACCTGATAAGCAAGATCAATCCTACAGGACAGAAGATAAGGTTGCAGCATTTCAACTGTGTAGAACAGAAGTAATAGAGAACTTTTTAGGTATTTTCGTTTATCCCCTCCACCACTTAAACCATGCGCGTAAAACTAACTGAACAAGATCACTGGATGGGATCAAGTCATGTTCGTCCACATCAGGCAAGAAATAAACAACTGCATTAGAAGCAAAATTATTATAGATCTGCCTCAGCATTGTTGGGTTGGTAATTCCGCACCACTTACCTGCCACAAATCCAATCACGTTGGGTTTCTCAATTCCCCACCTGCTCTTCTTTTTTTTTTTCTAAAAAAAAGGCCAAAGGGAGTCAAGAAACGGGGGCACAAACTCGTGGTCATATGTCTAGACCCCATAAGCAATACTGCAATAATCTTTTATAAATGGACAGAAATTTTTGAGGAAGTTATCGAAGGTGAAGGTGAGGATGCTAGTGGCGGTTGCCCCTAAGAAAAAGGATGCGGCAAAAATACATTTTTTAGCCCCCTGCTCTTGGAATTGATTAATTGGCTTGAGTGCTCTGATTAAATATAAAGGTTAAATGGGGAAAGGGATCAAGTACGACAGCGTCGGCCGCGATTTCCTCACCTTTGTGCTACTCTACAACCGTAAACAGTTGGTACTTGATTGCAGCATTTGCTAGTTAGTACTCCTTATTAACCTGATACAACTGTAAACACGAAGCTAGCACAGGGAGGAATCAAGAAAGGGAGAAAGTATGAGTACGGTAAAATCCACCTAAACAGTTAGTGCTGGTAGCTTACCTAAACACTGAAGACACCAGCCCCGGTCCTGCAATCCACCTGGGCGACGCTACGATGGATGTCCACAAACGTATGAATGCGGTAAAATCCCCAGGGGTCAGGGCAATCTGCGACGTGGGGGTACGCTGGCTCCTTTTTTTATATATAAAATTTGCTAGGCATGTATTAACACTCAACGGGGAAGAAGCAAAGTACAACAATAAATTGGTATATCTCTACACCAAATAAAAAGACCAAGGATCATAACCGCATCATTTGTCTGGTGATACCAAGTCTCAATCCTTACTTATGTTTCCGTGTCCGATACGAATCATCTTCCACTCGGACATCACACGTCCATGTTCTAGCTAGTTCCAATACTAATTTCTTAGAGCTCACGCATCGACGTCCGATTACTGAGGTTCAGTAAAAAAAATCATGACCACATCATATATCTAGTAGGAAAAAACACCTTAGCAAATGAACAACACCACGACAAATCACCACAGAACCACACTTCTGGCAAAACCACTAAAGCATCGGTGGATAAAGTGTTCTACACTTGTTCTAGCTTCCTTAGTGTTCAATGGACTCCATGACTCTCCAACACAATTGTGAAATGGAGTATATATAAGGTCTCCATTGAAACCTAACCGTTTCAATCAGTTGACAAACAAATACGGAGAGGTCTCCCTAAGTCATAAAACTTATGACTTAGGAAGATCGTGTGACTCCTTGTTGGTCTCACATACATCTACAATAGTGGCCATAGCTCGTGAGCATTCTTATCCGGTTCCATGGCGAGGTTGAGGTCGACTACACTCTTAGCATCCAAGCCAAACAACTAGCTGCGGATGTGGCAGTTTATTTGCTCCAAATCCCGTTCGGCTTACCTTAAATCCGGCTTGTTCGACTTCTTTTTTCAGTCGGAACCATGTTTTTCTCTCACAACATTTCAGCCAGAACAGTGTTTTTCAGCCAATTTCAGCCAAATTTCAACAAGCCGAACAGGGCCTAATTATCGGGCCGCATGAGCGAAGCTGTCGATGTGTACTTGAATAAAATCCACTTGTAATTTGAGGTTTTCATCTCCAGGGTGATGAGCACATGAGACTTCACGGTGACGACAGCATAAGGATTGACGAAGGCAGGCAATGCGCGTTGGGAGGTTGGTTCGAGAAAATTGTGTGTCGCGTCGCGGTCAACTAGGCTGATGACTACTGGACACAGCTAGGCCATCGTGAAGCAGATGCTTGTAAAACAAAAGGGAGATCACTATTTAGTTCTGAAAACACGATACGGTGGGCTATACTTTTGTTTCTCTTATAGTTCACTAGTTACCTGCAATGTTCGTGACTATGCGCAGACTAAGGGTGCATCTAGATAGAGCGAATTATGATCCAAATTGCTTTGACTTGAAATAAGTTGCAAGATTGGTCCCGGGGAGTAACCTCTCATCCAGAACTGGAGGGAAGAGTTACCTGATGATAATACCACAATAGTAACGCTGTGGAGGGCTAAATGGTAGGTCCTCATGTGTGATGATTGATCTCGTACTGCAATTGATGTTTGTGTTGTGGCATCTAGGACCGGGAGGATTTTATTATACTGTTACATATCTGAGTATTGAGCAGAATCTTTTGGATCAATTTAGTTATTACTCTATCCGATCCAAATTATAAGATAATACATTGATTACACTGTGTATCTATACATAGTATATATCTTTTATTGCGAAAGATGCATAGCATATATCTAAATGCATGACAAAGTTATCTATCTAAAAAAATCAAAACGTCTTATAATTTTGGACGTAGTATTGCTAAATCTGTAGTGACAAGTTTACATACACATGCACATCGACTGGTCCGGGGAATTTCTGCTGAATAAGCATAGAATTAATGCTGTCAAAGTTTTGAAAATCGACGATTACGTCTCACCTAGGCGCGCCTAGTTGCTAGGCTATGGCCTGGCGCCTGGTCTAGGGGGGGGGGGTAATCGCCCCTCTAGGTGGGCGGAGCGACTAGGCGGAGCTAGGCGGCGCCCAGGAGCCCTAGGAGGCGCGGAATCGAGCTAGGCAGGCGACGCGGGCCATCGCGCGCGAAAGAATGGCTCCGCGGGCGAGCGCGCGCGCAGAGCTCCAGGAGCGGGAAAAAGCCGCGTGCTGCTGCGCTGGAGAAGGATAAGGGGGAGAAGGGGAGAGAAAATCGTACTCGCCTCGACCTCGACCTCCGCCGGGAAGTAGGTCCCGCCGGCTGCGCTGCTCGCCTAGAAGCAGATCCCGCCGGCGAGCCTCCTCCCCGCCTGGCAAGACCCGCCGGCGACACTGCTCCCCGCCGGTCTCCTTCCTCCTCGACGAGCTCGTCCCCGCGGGTCGTGCTCCTCCTCGCCGGTCTCTTCGTCTTCGTCGCCAGAAGCTCCTCCCCGTCGGTCTCCTCCCAAGGTCTGTATGTCCTCCCCTGCTCCTCTGTTTCATTCCCCTGCTTTGTCTGTTTGCAAACATATACAGCCGGTCTCATTTGTTTCCTTTCCCTGCAGTTGTTCCTTTTCCCTGCTCTCCTCTCCTCTGTTTCTTAAATCTGAAATTGTTGAATGATTCCATGTATCTACTATGATGAATCTGTGAAATTGTTGACTACATCTGCATATGGATTTGTTGACTGATTGGCGATTGCATGTATATGTTTGTAATTTGTTGATTGATGGCTTGAACTCAGATGACGGGAACAGAGGGTCAATCTAAAACTGCAAGTGGAACAGAGGGAGCAACTGTCTGAAATGCTGATAATGCTATCCTATGCTGCTGAAATGCTGATAATGGATGGGAGAAGGCTCAGACCTCAGATAAGTACCTAACTTGCTATTTCCTATTTTTTGTATCACTTGTATTGATGCCCAATTGCATCTAAAAGTGTTGTCCACTTCTATTGCAGCAGTGCTACAGGAAATTCAGTGATCGGTAGCGTATCAACTGCAACTAAGGACAAATGACCTAAGGTATGTCTACTGGTCCTTCCCTATTTTTTATCTAAATTATTCATGATTTGTGCTATAAATATATATATTATATATTGATATATAAATATAAATTAGCAAAATGTCTAGAAAAACGTCTAGCATCGCCTAGGCTAACCTAGTAGCTAGGCTAAAGGTCATCGCCTAGATTTCGCCTAGCGCCTAGCGAAACTTTAAATGATGTGCACCAAAACAATCAGCTATGCATATGTATGTTTTATAGCGCTCTGGGACAAGTTGGGCTCGATTCAGTGGTACATTAAGGCAAAGTGGAAAATAAGTTTTCTTTTTACTTTTAGTTTTGGAGAAAGTGGAAAAGCCGTTTCTTTTTGTGCTGCATTTGTTTGCAAGCAACCAAAATGGTGCGGTACAGAACAAAGAACACATCAAGCAACGCCAAATGAAAAGTACGGTTTCAACATCGTAAGAAAACTGTGTACGAAATGCTGCAACTGCAAGGTGTAAGGTAACAAGCAACAAAGGAAAGACCGAAGGTCCAGACAAACGCAAAAAATTCTCCACGTTCCTGTTCTCTGAATAAGCGCGTGCATAAAAAAATGGTAGAAATAGAAAAGAAGCAATGATCTTATGTTATATCCTACACCACCATCTTGTCTGAACGTCATATAGCTTTTCAGCCTCATCTAGCCACGCAGCAGGAAGACTTCGCGCTCTATTGACAACCAAAAATTCATCCACTCAAGGATGTACACCATTTCTTCTTTTTGCGTGCTATGTTTGAGGATCATATCAGTCACTATTTCCAATTTACAACAGTGCTAAATCTGTGGCTCCACCAGTTGAATACATGACGATATACGTCTAAAGATGAAATAGTTCCACACACATCAACAATAGAAGTTATATGAACCATCAACTTGCCTCCACTTCTTGCTTCTCTGCATTTCCTTCCTCAGGTAGCTCCTGCAATGTCGTCAGGTTACTCAATTCAGTCTCTTGTACTGAACTGGAAGTGGATAATCCATCAGCCAGGACAACAGGGGTTGACCGGCCTGAGTTGGAGCCTGAGTATTGCCCCATGGACTGCTTTGATGTGTTTAATGCATGACAATGTGGGCAGTAGTAAGTAACATGTGGGTAATCTTCCTTTCGGGCCAAGCCTGCAAATATTAGTATTATTGGGTAATGAATCCAATATTTAGGTATGGTATGTGAAACATATCAAAAGAGCTTGGTCTATAATACGCACCGTTATGCATATGGCAGTTGCCACATATCAAAGCATAAGACTGTGATGGGTCCTCCCCCACAAGTAAGGCAGCAATCTTTCCAATCCATCCACCACCATCACTAGCCGCTGAGCCTTGATGATGCTCTACCACCATTGGAACTGGTGCAGTTTCCAGGCCAGCACTAGCAGGTAGATTAGATTCAGTTCCCTGTGCTGGGGTATGAGCAGCAGGGCTCCCAGTCCTGCTTCCTCTTGCATTGGGTTGCTTCCTGTTTCTCAAACCATCTGACGGTACTATCTTAACATCATTGCTTCTAGCCACTGCAGCATCCAGCTTTGGTTCTTCTCCAACATGAAATTTTAAGCCAGTCTCCTCCCCAAGCTTAGATGCCAAAACTGAAGCTGCTGCAGCCTTTGCGGCTGGATCAAGATCATATTTCTGCACATGCATGATTAATGGTACATATCACAGTTCAGTATTGGTGTGGCAAGAGGCATGATAAAATTTGATAACAACAACTAGTGAATTTATGTTCATTGAGTAATAGCAATTTGCCCACTTGCCTGAATAAGCTGTTGGGTACGATAATAATTTGTTCTCTCTTTAAGCTCATCAATCTTGGCTTTCCTCTCAGCCCTCAATTTTTCAAGGGTCTTCTGGTCTTTCCGCTCAACTGCGAACAGATATAAATAGGAGCAAACAAACAGCAATTCAAGATCATTTTGTGGACAGATACAGAGGTTGTGACAAGTATACACTATACAGTGCAGATAACCATGTAAATGTATCTAGTCATTACACCCAGAGGAACGAGGGGCATGACCAAGGCTTTTTAACCAAGTAGGTATTATAGCACAAGAACAGTTCTTCTTAAGTTTGTTTTCAGATTTCTCATAAAGCTAGTTTTAAGGCAGGTTTTAAGGTTGTTTTGGACAGAAAATGCGAACCGTCAGCATAACTGGGACATCAATCTACTTTCTCATGATTTCTACTGATGAAATTCCCAATTTGACTACTGACAAGTTTCAAAATGTTGATAGATAAGAAGGGGAAATTGAGCAGCATTCAAAACAAAATACAAGCTTTGTGTTGTAAACAATATATTCAGGAGCCACATAGTATGAACTCTGAATAAAATCACCAGCAATTTTTACTACAGACCATGCAGATTTTATAGGTGAGAAAAAAAAGGAAATATAGAACCTCTTATAAAATTACACAAAAGAAAAGAAATACAAAAACTGCTATGTTCTACAAGTTAGACAAGAAACAGTGTTTCCTAACAGGGCTTTCTGGGTACTTACGCATCCTTGTGAAGTTAACAACTGCTGAATATATGACAGAGGATACAGCAGGAAGAATGAACATAGGCAGCACTCGCATTGCCCTCATTTGCCAAGTTAGATCCTCATCTCTTGTCATCATGATGGCATAAACAACAGCCAACACCTGAGAACATGACTGAACAATCAAACCAGTAGAAACTACAAGCTAGGGATACGCAGCGAAAATTAAGTCACTGAAGGAGTGAAGGTTCAACATGAAAGGTAAATTGCATTTGCATCATATACAGTGAATCAACAACCAAAAAGGAAAAAAATATCATAAGAGTAGAAGAGATAAGTATCATGTGGAGGAGCATCTATTTTAGTATTTCATCACCAGTGAAGTTTCAGAACTCTATGAAATCCTAAAAAAACATGGTAACATATATTCATAATGCAAATACCATAACTTTATTATCCCCCCAAAAAAGAACAATGATTCACATAACTAAAGGAGCATAATGAAAAGTAAAACAGTGATGAACCCAAAAGGGACTTTCTCAGTTTGACAGAAAAGCAGCAGCATTCATTTTCAGATATTCAAAACCCTGGCTATTGCATCCTTGAGATGCTTGCTTCCAATGTATCACCTACCTATGCAAATGAACACATACAGATATACTAGCTTCCTCCGTGAATAAGTAGTACATGACTGACCTTTGCACGACTGATGAACTGAATAAGATTTTTTTTTCTGTGAACTTCAAAAAATTTAGTATAGACCAATGTTCTTAAGGCGGTATGGCATCCTGTAGTGCCTTGAGTATGCCTTGTCACCTAGGCATTGCCTTGAGAACACTGCCATAGGAAATATATGGTTACTGGTAACCAAAAATTACAAAGGAAAATAATGAACAGAACTGGATTTCTGAACATGCAATCCTGAGAAGAAATCACAGTACACATCCCTGTGTCTATTTTCCAGCACAAAGATTTCACTCTAAACGCTGGAAGTTGAAAGAACAGTTCATTCCCATTACAATGGAACAATTAATACAAAATCGATTAACAACAGGGGTATTCACCAGTGATGCTAGGCATGAATCTTCATATGATGTGAGAAACTGCTCTTTAAGTCACTGGTAAGCATAACATACTGCAGCACAGAAAGACCATACATCCATCATAACTCGGATATAGTCCGTAAGATATCTAATGCCTTCCAGTAAAGTGGCTGCCCTTTTACCCTTGGTCGAAATAAAAGAGAGGCATGACATCCACATTTTTAAGTCATCTTTTTTGTTGTTCCTCTCCCGCACCCTTATAAGCTAACCTGAAGAATCAGAGCAACAAATCACCGTATGCAGCAGACAGTGCCTCTGGACTCGATTACCGGAACACGCGTAACAAACACCATCCCATACTACGAGCAAAGTCTCCTCCGCGATAACAAATCGAACAACCACGAATCCAAAGACGAGCAAAACCGCCAGCCGCATCACCAGACCATCTCAAATCAGGGTGGGGGAGGGAAATACAAAAAACAAGAGGGGCAGGGGGGGAAGGAAAACACGCGCAGACCTCGAAGAGGACGGAGAGCACGATGAGGTTCCGCACGGCGCGGCGCGAGAACTGCGTCCGCCGGCGCATCCACGCGTGCACGGCGGCCTCCTCCTTGGACAGGTACTGCAGCCGCTTCTCGAAGTCCTCGCGGCCGCCGAAGAGCGCCCGCCACACCCTCCCCAGCACCCCGCCCCGCTTGCCCTTCTCCTTCGCCTCCTCCGCCGCATGCTCGGGCGGGGCCGGTGTCCCCGCCTCCGCCTCGGCTTCCGCCGGGGAAGAGGCCATTGATTGATTGCCTTGCGGATCCGCGCGGCGCTGGATCCGATGGGGAGGAGAGAGGAGGTTGCCCGCGAGGGATGGCTGCCTGCCAGCCTCTGGATGCGACCCGAACCCGAATGGAAGGGAGGAAGAAGAGGAGGGGTTTGGGCCTTTGGGGGGCTCTTTCCCTCGAGCCTCGAGAGCTCGTTCCCGCGTGGCCGTGGTTGGGTCCCGGCGCTGTAGCTTTTCTTTTGGGTGGCTCGTCGCAGCTCCCCCAACTCTGCAAGTGGGGGCACGGAGAAATGGCAGGGACGCAGGCGTGAAACCAGCGGGATTGCGGGTGGATCCGAATTCTTTTTTTTTTACTAGGGTTATGCAGTTAGTCGCAGCTCCCCCAACTCTGCAAGTGGGGGCACGGAGAAATGGTAATTAGGACGCAGGCGTGAAACCAGACTTTTTTGGGATTGCTAAACAAGGGGGTGGATCTTGAGAACTTTCTGTTTTTTAATACACCCCAAAGGACATATCAACTTATGCAGTTATAAGAATAACTTGAGAACTTACATTAGTCTTGTGTTCCAATTCATTTTATTTTATCTGAATCTATTCCGGTTACTCGAAGCTGGAGAGATCTAAATGGATTAAGATTTCTAGTTGTCCATATTATTATGTTTTTTTGTTTGGATTAAGATTCTCATTCACCCAAAATCGGAGAGATCTAATTGGATGATGATTCCTAGTTATATAGGTCATGTTCGCTTTGCTGAAAAGCCATGGCTGAGAGTACTGTTCGTTGATTTATTATAAGAGAAAAAGATTGTTCGTCCGCTGAAATATTATGGCTTATAAGACAAGCGAGTATGACCATAAAAAGAAATGTTATATATTATTTTCCACATTCACAAAGTTAATTAAGAGATGACCGAACAAAAAAATATATGGAGAGAAATTTTATCTCTTTATTATTAGTTATAGATAATAATGGCATGGCTCCAAACAGCTCCCCGTCTTGTCAGAGCTAAGGCCACTAAAACCAAAAATAATATTTTCACACACTCCTAATTTATTTTGAAAAGAAAAAATAGTTTTATGCTACATTACATGAAGGAGCTAGGACCAAAGCCACCTAGAGCTGTATCGAACATGACCTAATACAAATCAGATAGTTTACGTAGATTCATATTTGAATATCTATTTTTTTCATTTGCATAATGTAGATATAAACATGCACATAAACCAAAAGACTAAGGACTTGTTTGGACGAGAATCTGGACTACTTTTGCCTGGATTTGCAGCTGCCCGGAGTTTACCTGTTGGCATGTTGGGTGTTTGGTTGGAACCCTCAATTCTTGACTGCCTGGCATGGTAATCACAATGATCAAAGGAAGGGAACCAATATCATATCATCGTGTGTCCTTTTCTATATTTTGTATTTTCTATTCTTTCTCCTCCGTTCATCATGTACATGTTCAAGCTAAAATTAGCATGGTGTGTGCAGTGTAATGATAATTGCCTTTCCTCTACGTTTTTACATTGTGACGTTTTTAAATAACTAGGAAATCTATTGATTTTTTGTAATTATTATTAATTGAGAAAATAGGTGGATTGTTTTATTTATTTATCGTTTCTACATTATAACAGTAATCATGTATGTTTTAAAATAGTATTATATTTTTTATTAGTCTTTTCAGGCTTCCAAACGAATGAATCATCTTCTAACTTGTCAGGCTAGCAGATTCCGTTGAACTTTTAAGCAGTGGCGGAGCCAAAATGAGCACCTCATGGAGGCTAATAAATAGAGATTTAGAACAAATGTCGAAGATTAATGGTGAAATCATGTTTTTTCTACAGTAATAACAAGCCAAAATCACCCTCATTTAGGACATGGATCCGCCAATGCCGAACAGATAGTACTTTTTGTCGAGTAAGTGCTTCAGACTTCCATCCAAACAACCCAAGCTAACCAATGTCTCGAAGTTGACAAAAGCAACACAAGCAACTTGCTCTTAACGTGCACATCACCTACCACAACCTGAGTGGATAAGTTATATTTCAAGAAACTTAACCGGACGTATACTTAGTTCACTAGATATCCTTTTTAACTTCAATTTCGTGCCTATATGTCTCTATCCAATAATTTTAGAAAGAGTAAATTTTATTGGCGGTCCTTAAACTTACCGTGGGTTTTTATTCTGGTCTCGATACAAATAAATTGCATATCCACCTCCCTACACTTGTCACAAGTTCTCATTTATGTCATAGTACCTATAAATTGCACACTCGGCTGCCTAAACTTATTCTGAGTTCTTATCTACGTTCTAGTACTTGCAAATTACACACTTGAGCCCTAGACCTTTATTATTGTATCATCCCGGTCCAACTCATCCCTCCCACTCTCATATCGCGCTGTAGTCACCCCGTCATGCTGCATATGCCCACTTACCTGCACGATCATACCACGCTGCACCATGGTAGCCCCTATCATTACCGATGCTGCCCCTACTGAGCTCTCGATATCGTGCTCGTACTCACCCCGTTGTAGTCTTTTCTCTCCTCCGCAATGCAGACTCTCATGCTCTCCATCTCCTCGTACCCGCTCCTCGCCCTCCCGGCCTTCCTTGGCTCTTGTGACAATGAGTTCATCTCACGCGAACGTGTGAGAGAGATATACCTTGGTGTGGTAGGGCAAGTGTTGCGACAGTATGGGCAGCCATAAGCACAACACATGTCTTTAGCGTGGCAGCGTGAGTGCGACATTGCGTGCGTGCAAAGAACAGGGTGGCAGAGTGAGTGTGGTGCAGCGCTGAGCAGCCATGCGAGCGAGGTGTGCGTGTGTAGCGGGGCAGGGTGAGGGAAGGGTGGTGCAGAGAGGAGGGAGACAAGGATAATGCATTAATGCAAGTTTAGAGAGCCGAGTGTGTGTAAGGGTGCGTTTAGTTCCAAAAATTTTTGGTTTTTGTCTATCACATCGAATTTTTTGACGCATGCATGGAGCATTAAATATAGATGAAAAAAACTAATTGCACAGTTGGGTGAGAAATCGCGAGACGAAACTTTCGAACATAATTAGTCCATAATTAGACACTAATTGTCAAATACAAACGAAAATGCTACAGTAGCCAAACCAAAAAATTTTCGCGAACTAAACGTGCCCTAATTTGCATGAATTGGGACTGGAATGAAAAGAAAAAAATTATAGAGAACTGATTTAGATATTACCCCCCACAGCGGGGCTGTTATGGCCCGTGCGCGGTGCCGGCTCCAAACCGTTCTGATGGAGCCCGTCGTTCCCTCGAGACCGGTGGTTTGGACGGCTCAGGTCTGGACGTCTGGTCGTCGTTTGTTCCCTGCCAGGGTACGCAGATTCAGGTAATTTTCAGGAGCAGCAAAGGCCAAAAGGTTTGGGAATAAGCTCTTGTTTAGTTCGCGAAAACTTTTTCTAAAAAGTGTTATAGGAGCCACCACATCGAATCTTGCGATATGTGTATTGAGCATTAAATGTAGACGAAAAAAAACTAATTGCACAGTTTGGTTGGAAATTACGAGACGAACGTTTTGGACCTAATTAGTCCATGATTAAACATTAATTGTCAAATAAAAACGAAAGTGCTAGCTAAATTTTCAACTTTCACCCAGCTAAACACGGGCTAGTAGGTGACGTTTGGCTGTAAACTTCTGGAAACGTTGAAAGAGTTGGCAAGGAACTGGATGCGCGCGCGGCGGTGGCATGTGCACGGCCAGCCGTCGACGGGCCCGGCAAGTCAACACGCGCGTCGTAAAAGAGGATTGTTGGGGACAGCTCACCCGAGCTCACCTGCCACGATCTACCGGCACCGGAGTGGCCGGCTCCACACGCGTCGTCGTCCATCATGCCCCCATGTTCCTCCATCGATGTTTCCGCCGCATTAAAAATATCAAATCAAATGCCATGACGGGGCTAGCTAGCTTCCTTTAAGAGTAAGGATAGTAACCCAGCCGGCAGCCGGCTAAATATAATGTCAGGTGTGTAAAGGTAGTATGTTTCGATCACAAGTTCGTATAATGGCTTGACTTTTATGAGTTGCTCATCAAGCGGGTGCGTTGTGCATGACATGCAAAAAGTGAGTAGCACCTGCGAATGGAGATTCATCGGTACTAAGCAAAAAAACTTTCGTTTTTGAAAATTTTCGAAGTAATCTTTGAAGGACGAGGCGATTATTTTCTTTTCATCATGACTAGCAAAATCTCGTGTGGACGGATGAATAGCTTCATGGTCTATTTAATAGGTTTTAAATCAAGCTATGGTATTCTAACTTCGTATGAGCCTAAGAGCAACCACGGCTCAAAAACTGTCTCGACTCTTTCATTCTCTCTCATCCAGCAAGAATTTTTCTAACGTGAACTCGTATACAGTCCGCTTATGTGGCTTTATTATACTTGCTCTAATAAGGTCCACCTGCTGTGGCCTTAAAAGAAAGGCAAAGGTCTCCCCTGCTTGCGACGGAAGTAGGGATCTCTGTGTCCTGTTCAGTTTCAGGCCTTCAGGGTTATGCCCGATTGCCTGTACGAATACGTAGGTAGTATGTTACGATCACAAGTTCGAAACATGATCTTGACTTCTAGCCGTGAGTTGCTCATCAAGCTAGAACGTTGACATCTCATCACTGGGTTCCATGGAAAGTGACTAATTGTGTTGTACGTTTGCCCTGTTCGCTTCACTGGAATTTGTCTTATACGGCTGCTAATGCTGATTACAGAAAACACTGTTCGTTCGCTGAAAAGTACTACTAAGTAATGCTGAAGGACAGGGCGATTATTTTCTTTTCATCATGACTAGCAAACATCTCAGTGCATTACGGATGAATAGCTTACATGGTCTATTTAATAGGTTTTAAATCAAACTATGGTATTCTAACTCGTATGAAGAGCAACCACAGGTATACTCCAAAAACTGTCCGTAGGACTAAATTAATTCATATAAACTATCTCAAATTTTGTGAAACTAATCATAAATTAGTATATAACAAAAGCTATCCATAAGCCTAGTG